GTTCCCCTTTCTCCTCATCCTCACCAGCATTTGTTGTTACTTGTCTGTTTGATGTTGGCCTTCCTAACTAGTGTGAGGTGATAATCTCATTGTGGTCTTAATTTGCATTTCCTTGATAATTAGCAATGTGGAGCATCTTTTCATGTGCATGTTGGCCATCTGAATTTCTTCCTTGGTAAGTGTCTGTTCAGATCCTGTGCCCATTTTTTAATCAGGTTCTTTGTTTTTTTGGATGTTGAGGCATGTGAGCTCTTTGTATATTTTGGATGTTAGCCCCTTATCAAGTCATTTACAAATATATCCTCCCATACTGTAGGATGACTTTTTGTTCTGCTGCCGGTGTCCTTTGCTGTACAGCAGCCTTTTAGTTTGATGTAGTCCCAGTTGTTTGTTTTTTGTTTCCCTTGCCTGAGGAGATGTGTACAGGAAAAAACGGCTCATGCTTATGTTCAGGAGCTCTTTGCCTATGTTTTCTAAGTTTTATGATTTCATGTCTTACATTTAGATTGTTAATCCATTTTGAGTTTACTTTTGTGTGTGGAGTTAGACAGTAATCCAGTTTCATTCTCTTATATGTGGTCATTCAGTTTTGTTAACACCAGTTGTTGAAGAGGCTGTTTTTTCCCCATTGTACATTCATGGCTCCTTTTTCATATATTAATTGGCTATACGTGCATGGGTTTGTATCTGAGCTCTCTATTCTGTTCCATTGATCTATGGGTCTGTTCTTGTGCCAGTACCAAATTGTTTAGATTACTGTGGCTTTGTAGTAGAGCTTGAAGTCAGGAAGCATAATCCCCCAGCTTTGTTCTTCCTTCTCAGGATTGCTTTGGCTATTTGGGGTCTTTTGTGGTTCCATGTGAATTTTAGAACTATTTGTTCTGGCTCATTGAAGATCGCCACACATACCTTCTTTTAAAGCATTGCATACTGTATGTGCGATAGCAGGTTCCCCTTTGAAGTTCTGTCTTTGTTGCTGGCCTCCTTTATGATGAAAGTGATCTTTCCATAGTGGACATATATTAGTCATAGATTTTTAGGGAAACAGTGAAATGTTCCTTAGAAGTCATCTATATAATGCCTGTGTCTTGAAGATCAGAAAACAGAGACACAGTGAATTTAAGTGGCTTGCCTCACATCTTAGAAACAGTTGCCAGAACTGGAATTAAAAACCTGAGTCACCTGATCCACAGTCTCTAATTCTTTCCCCAGCAGAGCAATTTCCTGAGGCTTTGGTGTCAAGTAGCTTAACTATTACTAGAAAAGGTAAAGAAATAAGGGAGTGACTTCAAACATTAGTAGTGGGATTGATATATATGACCTTTGGGGTCTTTTTTCAGCCCTGACAGTCTGTGTTTTGAAGAATAGCAGAATATGCCACCCCATAATATGCCTCCTTGGCATAAGGATCATTTTGAGCTAATTATTTCTGTGAAACCTGCAGACACTAGAATACACTGAAAATAGCAGAAATTACCCTTTTGTAAGAGAAATGTTATTTATAGATGAAATCTCCATTTGTGTCTCCCTTCCGTCAGTTTCTCCCTCTGTACTAGGAAGAGGGCGACTCTAAATCACAAGAGAATCTTCCTGATGGAGAAGACACTGACCTAAATCTGTATGGCAGACCTTACCCTTGTTTACAGTGCTTCCTCCTGGTCACCTCCCATCCCTGGCCTCCTCACCCACCCAGCATCTTCGTCTGTAGCTGAAGATGGTACATGAGGTGTTGGCTGGGACCACACCATCTCAGGAAGTTTACTCAATTTCCCTGGGTATCTCCCATGTACATGTGAAATATACATGTTGATAAACTTGTTTTTCTCATACTGATTTTTTCATACAGGGGGTCTCAGCCAAGAACTCAGAAGGGTAAAGGGAAAGTTATTTTTCCTTCCCTACAGCTTCTACAGTGTTCTGGTAAGGGACGATGAAATAGTTAGAGAGCCCACAGTTTCTCCCTATATCACAATAAACACACAAGCATTAAATATTCCTACTTTTTAAACTCACAGTCCTAAACACTCTATATTTTCTGCCTGAGGAGACAGAAAATATAGAGTGTATGTATACTCTGCCATCTGGCATCAAAAAATTTTAATTACATAAAAATAAATTGTATGCTTACTATCAGAGGGTAAAGTGTCTTCTTTATGTGAAATAATAAATTCCTGCAGAAGAATGACACAAATATAGTCAGAACACAAGTATTTATATGTAATGTTGACAATATTCATAACAAGTAAAAATGCCAAAATAATCCTAAGAAACACCAGCTGAAATGAAATCAGGGACTATGTTTACAATTTTATCCTTCTTTGTATTGACAATGCTGGATCCCTTCAGTTTCCATGTAAGTATTAAGATCATCTGTCGATTTCTAAAAAAAAAAAAGTCAACTGGGATTTTGGTAGATTGCATTGTAGTCAATTTAGGAAGTACTGCCATGTTAATACTAAGTCTTTTGATCAATGAACATTGATGTCTTTCCACTTATTGAGATCTATAATTTCTTCCAACAATGCTTTGTAGTTTTCAGACTACAAGTTTTCACTTCTTTGGTTAAATTTATTCCTAAGTATCTTATTCTTTTTGATGGGAACGTAAATTCCATTTATGGCATGTAGATGGAATGGTAATATAAACATTAATTTCATTTTGGGATTGTGTATAGATAAACATTTGATTTTTATATATTGATCTTGTTCCCTGCAACTTTGCTGAACTTGTTTACTAGTTCTAATTTTTTAGTGGATGCCTTAGGATACTGTTCACACAATATTATATAATTGACAGTTTTTCCAACTATCTTCCCTTCCAACATGAATGCCTTTTATTTCTTTTTCTTCCCTAATTTCTTTGGCTGGAACTTCCATAATGCTGAATAGAAGTGGGAAGAGCAGAAATCTTGTCTTGTTCTTCATCTCGGAGGGAAAACATTTAGTCTTTCATCATTAAATATGTTAACTATGGGCTTTTCATAGATGCCCTATATCAGGTTGAGGAAGTTATCTTCTTTTCCTAGTTTGTTCAATGTCTTTATCAGAAGTGTAGGATTTTGTCAAATGTTTTTCTGTGTCAATATATTGAGATGATCATGTGGTTTTTGTCCTTTATCCTGTTCATATGGCATATGTCATAGGAAGAAAAATGCCCCCACCCAAAGATGTCCATGTTCTAATGCCGAGAACCTTTGAGTGTGTTATGTAAAGTTGCAGATGGAATTAGTTCCTAATTAGTTGACTTTAAAATAAGCAGGTTGTCCTAGATTAGCCAGGTGGACCTGATATAATCATAAAGGTTCTTAAAATTGGAAAGGGAGGCAGGAGGAGGAGAACCAGAGGTGGCACATGAGAAGGGCTCCGTCCAGTGCTGTTCATTCCGAGTGTGGAGGCACATGAGTGCGGTGGCTCTGGAGGCCGGGGAAGGCGAGGGGTGGCGTCTCGCCCAGGGCCTCCGGAGAGGACGGCTGCCCTGCTCGTGCTGATTTTAGCCCAGGGAGCCCCACTCCGGAATTCTGGCATGCAAACTGGACAGTAATGAACTTGTGTCACTTTAAGCCATTAGGTTTGGTAATTTATTACAGCAGCAATAGGAAAATAATACAGTATATCACGTTAATTGATTTTCAGATGTTAAATCAACTTGCATTCCTGTGATCAACTGCAGTTGATCATGGTGTATAACCCTTTGAGTATGTTGCTCGATTTGGCTTGCTAGTGTTGTGTTGAGGACTTCTGAGTACACACTCATAAAAGATCATTGGTCTGCTTTTTGTGTATGTGATGTCTTTATCTGGCTTTGCTGTCAGGCTGATACTGGCTCCCCCTCCCCCTGCCTCTTCTATTAGTGTGGCCGCTCCAGTTCTGTTCAGTGACTGACACGGTTGTGTATCTCTTTGTCCATCCTTTCCCTTTCAAACTAATTGAAACCTGTCTTTAATCTAGATTTCCTGTATAACAGATTTCCTCTGTAATAAGTAATGAAACTTTAATGACAAAGAATAAAGCTGCCTTTTTAAAATTAGCTGCTGATGTAAACCTTTGTTTTCCAAACTATAACATCTCATTTCCATAAAAGCTTTAGTTCTCTTCCATGCACTAAATCTGGGTATTTTGGTTTATTTTTGTTTTGGTTAAAATAAAATTTAGTAGCTATATGTTGAACCTCCTTTTTTTTTTAATCTCTAAGAACCACTAATTTAAGAAAATTTATAAGACTAAGTTAGAGGCATGTTGTATATACAACATATGTCGTGTCTATGGAAAAAGTCTGTTAAACTTATAATTTTTTAGAGTAATAAAATTTTATCAGTATTTTTGCTGTTTAATATTTTTAAGACATAAAACTGCAAGAGATATAAACCATATTAAAATCAGTACTATACATTGTAATTGAGAACCATCTAAATGTCAATACAGCAAATTAGTTAAGTTATAATGAATTGATATATTATCTATTAAAAATCATGCTTCATAATAATAATACTGTATGACAAGGAAAAATGTTCAGCTGTCGGCTTGTCCTGTTCTGGTAACGGCTCCCTCCCCAGCTTTCTGGGGCCTGTTGCAACTTCCCCAGGTGCCTCACCACACCCTTTGGCTGTCTTTAATGTTCTCTCCTTTGTAACTTCATTCAATGCTGTTCAAACCCTCCACTTCTGTGCTCCATCTGTTTCCTGCTAGGACACTGAGAACGTTTATACACAGCTTACTGGTGAAATTACCTTGTTACTCTCTGGCTGGTGGAATTAAGATGAAATTACTGAAAAAATAATATATACCTGTTTTTAAAAAATTTTACTATATGTGCACTACAACTAATAAGTTATCCTTAACTACATGCCTTCCCTGTTGTATACTATTTTTTATATATTACCTCATTTAATCCTCTAAATAACCCTATGAGATATGTTATCATCATACCCAGTTTATACACGAGGTCACATTAAATATGTTTGATGACCATGAATTAATATATTATCTTTGTTCCTTCTGTAGATCATTCACGAGAAGTCTTGGAGCAATTAGTAGGCCCGAACAAACTAAAGCAGGTCACTTGGACTGTTTATTGATACCTGTTGAAGCTTATCAAAGCTATGATCTTCATACTACTTTCCCAGAAGACAGTTGTCTTGAAGGCTGGCTTTCCAGTAATGTGGTTTGTGCTTTGAAGTTAACCAGACTCTTAAACATTTTAATAGTGCTATTATTCTATGTTTGTTCGTGAGTCATTGTTTTTGAAATGGGAATCCTAGCATGCCCTCTGATGTATGGCGGGGAAGAGGGAAGTGGTATTGATTTAAGTAACAAAGTTTTAAAATAATTTGTTTTTCCTGGATATCTCCTTCTCCTACCTAGATATTTGAGCTGTTAGAAGAGAAAATTACAGTATGGATAACCATTAGAACTCTAAATAAAGGTATTTCTAAAAGCATAATTGCCTTCCTAGGTATTTTCTGGCTCCTGCATTCCTGAAGTATTTAAATGCCCACTGGCCAAAAACAAGGCTGAACATCAGGCCTGTAAATTCTTCACAAATTTTAGTATTTCAGGGAAACAAAGTTAAATGTCATGATCCATGATTTCATACACCTTAGCCATTTCATATGTGAATGTGACTGAGGCCCTTGGCCAGTCACTGATTTCACTGATTTTCATGGCCACTTTTCCCAAATATGTGCTATTCATTTATGAATTTTCTCCCTTAAAAACTACAATCAGGAACATGTAAGAATGAGTAAATACAAAATATCACCACAAAGGTTGTTTCCTGAAGCTTTAAAGTCTACTATGCCTAAACTGCCCCCAAATTCATCATATTCCCTGTGCCATGAGCCTACTTCTTGAGATTCTTAAGGATTTCTTACTTTAATTCTTAAGCAGTGAAAAACAAGGAAAGTATGATGTGACAAATTTCTAGTAATGTTTAGAGGGAGTTTACATTTTCAGCTCTTCCTTGTCCTTACTGCTTTATGAACGTGGTATGTTCAGAGCATGCGTGTATATACGCCGCTGCGAAGGCGGTGCCCATGTGGCTGCTCCCCTCCGGAGCACATCACACTCCCTCCTAGAGTGTGTGCTTTTGCTCTATTAAATGGCTCTTTGCTTGGAAAAACAAAACAAAACAAAAAGATGGTACATATGTATATATGTAAGTAAAATGGGTAAGGCTTGTTCTATAGAATTTTTGTGAAAACAAAATAAAATTTAATGTTGAACATCTAACAAAGTCGATAGCTTTTTTCCCTTCTGGGGAAACTAGTTTCAAGACCTTAAGGTGTCAGTTTTTCGGGGTCTATAAAGAACTTCCTAAAGCAATTTGCAATTTGGTCTTGCTTTTTTTTATTGCTGGTTGTATTGGCTATTTGTGTTGAATAATTTTAGTACCCACCCCTACCTATCTCTGTCACCCTTACCTCTTCTCCTTACCATCCATCACCATCTGACATCTGTGGGGTTTTTTGCTTGTTTATTATCTGTCTCCCCACTCGAAAATATAAGCCTCATGAAGACAAAAAAAAATTTTTTTCATGCTGTTTCTCCAGTGCCTAGAACAGTGTCTGGAGCATAACAAGCAACCAATGTTCACTGAATGAACGGACAAGGAAAGAAATGAAGGGAAAATAAATAAATAAAAATAATACTCATACTGCCAGTTTCTGGTCTGACATGTAAAGTGATTGGAAGGCAGCTCTCCCGTCCTCACAAGATAAAAGCTGAACAAACCGAAAATCCTAACGCGGCGCAGTATTACTCAAGTGGATTTGGATTGGTTGTGAGTGCGTGCTGCAAACCTAGGGCAGCCACTCAAAAAAATTTTGAATATGTGTAATTTGTACATTAAAGGAGGAGAGAAAATGGGGTCATATAAAATGCTCAATTAAAACCAGAGAAGGCAGAAAAAAGGTAGGACACATACAAAAAAAGAAACTAAGAGCAAAAAGGCAACAAATAGGGAACAGTTATAAAAACAGTGGAAATTAATCTGACTATGTAGATAACCACTAAATGTGAATGGTTTTAATACAAAACCTGGTTGTGAAGCTATGAAGTCATTTCAAGGCTCACCATTATACACACAGGAGATAAAAAGATATTTTAAGTAACATTTGGACACCTCAAAGACCACTTGTGCCCTCCTTACAAATCATTAAGAGAGGATAACAGAAACAGGGTTTGTAGGTATTTAAATGTAAATCTATTCTTTGCTTCATCAGGTTGATTTCTGGTGGTGCTCCGAGTATAATTTTCTCCAATTTCCTTTTCCTTATCTTGCTGAGAAGGGCAATAACCAGCAGAATACCCTCAATTTTCCAAGAATATGTCAACAAAACTCTTCTCAAATTATCCTCCAATGCCATGATAGCCTATAATTTCTATTAATTTTAACCAAAGCTGAGTTAAAATTTTGAGTGCATAATTCTCCAGCCCTGGCAGACCAATGGAAATTGGATGCAACAACAGCTGATTCACTGGGCTGCAATAAACTGACTTCCAAAGTTCAAGAAATCACAAGATTCTCCGCAACCCCAGCTCCAAAACTCCCATCGAATTATCCTGTTCCTATCTAAGCAACAACTTGCCCTGAACAGCTGTGTCCACGTTTCTGCTGTATGACTGTAACTCGGATCATGCGTCGCTGGTAGCCTGATCCCCTTGGCATGTGTGTATTATTAGAAAGCTTTTAACGCTTATGTCGTAAGTAATTCCTGAGTGAATAAAAACGTAAGAATACATTAGAGAGGCTGTATTCTATACTTGTAACATACAGCGGCGGTATTTTGTTTTAAGTTAGAGAATAGGAAATAGAATGCATATAATTAATACAAAATTACAAGACCCAAAAATAAAACTAGATCTCCCTCCTGCCCCACTCCACCACTATCTGGTACCCTCTCAGAAGGCAACCACTGTTACCAGTTTCTTATCTTTCCAGGGATATTACACCTGTACTGAAAGCAAATATGTATTTTATACACATACATACTGCCAATCTGAAAATAAAGAGCCACAACGAGAGGTAAAACAAACATTTACTTGGATTAAAGAACTGCAATTTGGGAGCACAGATTCAGTTAGCAACCCCAACAGCGGTCCCAGTTGTAGGATGAAAGCAGGGGTTTTAATAAGGAAAAGGAAGGGGGCAATATGTGAGCTGCAGAGAAGAAAAAACAGTTTTTCTATGGGTATTAACAAGCTTTCTACTCTGAGTTATACTTTAAATGCTGATCTTGTCTTCAGAGAGCCCTTAATTATCAGTTTTGTGATCAGTATGTCCCTTCTGCTGACTTCTCAAACAGTTGCTTAAAACAATTCCGGTTTTGCTCAGTCCAAAGGTTTTGGCCCAGTTCAAAGGCAGGTAAGACAGTTTCTCTCCGGTAGCCACTCTGACTATATTTTAAAATGACTATCTTGTTGACTTTTCACAGTACATATGCAGGTATACACATCCATTTTTTACATAAATAGTGGTATAGCATACACATTCTTCTTCACATTGTTTTCCATTTACATCATACAGAAGATCCTGGCAACCTGGAGCATGTAGTGGATCCAATCAGTTCCTAGCCAACCCTAGGAGGCCATGAAGGAGCTCTGTAAGCTGCCACAGTCAAGAGTATGTCGGGAACTCTAAATCTTTATTTTTATCCGTGGTTGTCAGTTGAGGCCCTATGATGTACTAAATACTACATTAGGTACTTATAATATAATAGCCCTTTGAGGTGAGGTTTATTAAGTTTTATTACTATTTTATGGATGAGGAAATTAAAGCTCAGAGAACTTTACTAGCCCAAAATCCCAACTAGAAAGTGACAGAGTTGCCGGACTCCAAAACCCACATTCTCTGTACAATACTAACTGCATCTTTGATCTTTACAAAAAAAAATTTTTTTTAATACACGATTCTTCTATATTTTGTATAATCCAAAGGTACATCAGATAATCATTCATAACTACAGAAACAGATGCTGCTACAAAATCTAATTCCCTTCCACAACTTAAATTACATGGTGCTGCCATTCAGTATTGTCTTCTAAAATTATATTCTCATAGCAGTAAAACTAGGGGAAAAAATTGCCAGTAGAGGTATGTATGTTTGGCTCAATACAACTAGTTACATGACAAAGGCTGAAAAGACTTTAAACCTTCGTATTTTGGAAATGAGATACACATTTAACAGAAATTGCATTCTTTATAAAAGTGGAGAGTCTTTTCGCTTTATATCCAAACAAAGCTGTATCCATACTCAGAAGCACAACTCAAGGCTGAAAATCCCACACAGTGCTTGTTGTCAGTCCATTGTTTTCCTGCCTCGTCGTTTCTGGAAGTGAATATTCCACTACTTTGTGCAGTTGATGCCGAATGCTGTGTCCACTGAACTGGGGTCGCCCAGGGTCACCAATCAGTACTCGAGTTCTGTGAGCCCGAAAGCAATTCTTCAGCCATTGATGAAGACTATCTGCAAGGCGTTCATCATAAAACATATCTCCAAGCACAACAAGGTCCCACCTATCTTGTTCCAAATCCAGAATGTTTTTGGTTAAAATGGGAAAAGGATTCAGTTGGTTCAATTCACAATTTAGTGTGATAGCCATTCCTGCAACTTTAAAAAGCACATAATGAACTGGTATATGCTAGGCTGTCATATTTTTATTCACTTTGAGATATAGTTAATATATAATATTTTATTGGTTTCATGTATACATTAAATGCTTACCACAATAAGTGTAGTTACCATTTGTCACCATACAAGGATATATTATTGACTATATTCCCTATGCTGTAATTTCATCCCTGTGACTAATTTATTTTGTAAATGGAAGTTTGTACTTCACCCATCCCTTCCATTCCCCTCCCTTATGATAGCCCAGGTTTGTTCTCTGCTTGCGTTTTGTTTATTCATTTGTTTTGTATTTTAGATTCCACATTTAAGAGAAATCATATGGCATTTGTCTTTCTATTTGACTTATTTCACTTAGCATAATACGCTTTAAGTCCATCCATGTTGTCCCAAATGACAACATTTCATTCTTTTTTTATAGCTGAGTAATAATATATGTAGCACCTCTCCTTTATCCATTCATCTGTTAATGGACACAGGTTGCTGCCATATCTTGGATGTTGTAAATAATGCTGCAATAAATACAGGAGTGTATATTTCTTTTCAAATTAGTGGTTTTGTATTCTTTGGGTAAATTCCCATAATTGGTATTACTGGGTCATATGGCATTTCTATTTTTAGTTTTTGAGAAACCTCCATACTGCTTTCCATAGTGGCTACACCAATTTACATTCCTACCAACTGTGTACAAGGGTTCCCTTTATTCCACCTCCTCACCAACACTTACTATCTTGCTGTTATTAGGTATTCTGACAGGTGTAAGGTGAATCTCATTGTGATTCTGATTTGCATTTCCCTGATGATTAGTGAGGTTGAGCATTTTTTCATGTGTTGGCCATCTGTATGCCTTCTTTGGAGGAATGTCTGCCTATTCATGTTCTCTGCCCATTTTTAAATAGGATTTCTCTTTTTTTTGGTGTTGAGTTGTACAAGTTTTTCATATATTTTTGGATATTAGTTCTTCAGCAGATATATCACTTGCAAATATTTTCTCCCATTCAGCAGGTCATCTTTTTGTTTTATTGATGTTTTCCTATGCTAGTGTTTTTTTTTTATTAAGGTATCATTGATATATATTCTTATGAAGGTTTCACATGAAAAACATTGTGGTTACTACATTCACCCATATTATCAAGTCCCCCCATACTCCATTGCAGTCACTATCCATCAGTGTAGTAAGATTATACTAGGGTGTTTTAATCACTTTTGATTAATTTAAGTAATTTAGAAAATCTCCTAACTATATATATTTTTTCCTTTCTGTTGAAAGTTGTTTTTTTTTTTGTAAAGAAACCGAAGGTCAATGTAAGCTCTCTACTGCAGTTTTCAAATATATAGATGGATATCCTGAAAACAAAACAACTAGGACAAAATACCAAGAAATGTTGCAGTTTTAAGGAATATTTGATCTTAATAACCGAAAGATTTGGTTTGGTACAGTCGTACAGGAGACAGGGAAACAGCTTGGGCAAGGTGTCAAGTCAGAACTGAGACCCCTGTGTACAATAAGGATCTTCAAGGGCTAGATGCTCAGTGAAAGGGAAGAACATAAGAAATCAGATAAAATAAATGCTTACCTGTCTTGGGTTCTAATTAGCATAAAATATTTCTTAAAAGCACAGACCTATCCTCCCTTGGGTTCTAGATCAAATAAACACGACCTATATACTTCAGGAAATCCCTGGCCCAGAAATTAACAGTAAGTGCTCCCAGGATGGTATCCCGTCAGGGTATCTGACAGACACAAATACAAATCGTCTTGGGAAAAGTACACCATCAATTCAAGCCTTACAGATTCCCACCCATCACACTGAACTTAAGTTCATAATATCCCATTACAAGATACACATGGAAATAAGCTATCACACTGAAGCAGCCATAGATATTTATTCTGGAAGAAAAAAAATGATAACCTTTAGGTATTTTAAAATATGAAATACTTACTGGGGTCGATATCATTGGCCAAGATCTCTGATGCCCCACTCATCTTAGCCGCGATAGCTGTCGCTCCGCATCCGCTCCCAAGATCTAACACAGATTTTCCTCTGACAATATCAGGATTATCCAAAAAGTACCTAACATAGAAAGAAAGGGAAAAACACTGAGATGGGAGAAGGTCAGTAAGAGGTTATCCCAAAAAAAAAGATATCTTGGAGTTGACTAGACAAAGAAAGAGTGGAATTAGCAGAACTTAGTCCAACCTTGGCAAGGCTGGCCTGATGAGAATGAACAATATGTCTCTCGAGAATTGGATGGAAGTGGCAGAGAGAGGATCTAGTCATTTCATCTTTCTCTTCAGCAGGTGTGAAAAGCAGTTTCACGTAAGTGACTCATCACACTCTCCAAGTGAACTTTTTAAAAGTATTGAGCCCTTGCTAAGACCCAGGAACTACCGAACTACCAGACTGACAACGTGCTGTTAATAATCAGGAATGGTGAGCCAGACCCGAATTCGCTGTTTCCTTTTGATTGTTCATCACAACGTGGTTTTACTTACTGCTTGAATTGTCTGATAATGACCTCTGGTAAGGTACAAAGTAAACTTCAACCAAAGAATGTGGACCCAGGCTAAGCAGTTATCAAGTAAATGATGATGGATGGGGAAATACTGAAATAATAAATGTCTGGGAATGTAA